ACTTCCTGGTTTTTCGCCAGTGTGGTTTCCTGTCAGCTCAAGTGACAATAAACCTCACTCAGATCCAGAATTCTGGTGTTGTATGGTTTGATTCCTTCTGCAAAACATTTTATTTAACAATGGTGGTTTTAATATCGACTTCAGTTTATTGAATACGAATTTTTCTTACAGTACTGAGCCAAACAAGATGGCTGTTAATAAGTGCTGCAGGCTTTGTGAGACAAATTTTTAGAATCAACACGGACTGAATGGCTTCAGTCACTTCCTCTGCTGCCATTGCTAAACTACAGGCAGACTAAATCAGTGCAGATAATCGACGTCATCATCCACAACTACTCCTTGTGATTGCTGATTGGCCCGGTTGAAATTCTATTGGAGAAATCCAAGTCAATGGGAGAAAGCCCAGACAGAGCAGAGAAGGAAGATTAGAATTGAGCGGAACTGTGTAGGCAATGGGCAGCCTATATATACAGTATATTCAGATGGATTTTGGGGACAGACTCAAACAAAGACAGAAGGCAGGTGGTATAATAAACAAAGAAAACCTGATGCCACATGTCCAGAAGTGTCCTCTTTGAGTTTTTTTATTTTTATTTTTTTGGGTTGTAAATGCTCTTCTCTCTTCAACAGGATCAGTTTGATAACTTGGAAAAGCATACACAATGGGGGATCGAGTTCGTGGAGAAGTACACCAAATTTGTGAAGGAGCGATCGGAGATTGAGGTCAACTATGCAAAACAAATAAGGTGAGTTCTCTGACATACCGTTTGGGTTCTGGGTTTCAGCACAGAGGTTTGGATCAGCTGGATCAGATTTAAAAGAAAGCAGGACTACCCACTAGAAAATTCTTGAAAAAAATTAATCTAAACTATAAATGTTTTAATAGTATAAAATGAACCTCAGCTGCCATAAATACTGTTTTTATTTTCAAATTACCGTGATTTCTTTAAAGTGATCAAAAGTATTTACCCATGTTCCTTCTTCACACCCTCCTGACCTACTATATACATTTTCTGTTACCCACATCTCGCTCACCTCAGCCCACTTTTATCCCACCCTGGCAGCTGCCCCCATGTTCATGATTTAATCTACCGGAGTAAAGATTTTACAAGACAATAGATAGGCGTGGACCAGTTGTTGTTTCTTAACTATTTGTAATAGATGTGGTCAGACCTGGACTTCCATGTTGATGTCAAAACTCAGCTCTAGTGCTCTAATATTACACAAATTTAATTTAGACTGGTTTGAGACTCCCTCAACCATTCTGTGATTATTTTTCACATGTATTTTTAAAAGAAGATTACCGTATTTATTCAAGTATAACACGTAAAATTCAATCCATAAAATCATCCATAAAGTTGGGGGATAGTACTATACTC